ACACATCATATTTCAGGTCTACATGCAGAGGCTGAAAAATGCCATGCAGTGCACAGCCGCGTATTTCAAACCCTGGTTTAGATTAGCAAATCAAATTGTTTTCAAACTACATGTACAAGTTAGTATGTATTATAAAAATTTAAATTTGATTTGAAATTTTGAATACCTTAATAGGAATACTGATATTCACATTATCTTGCCTTCCAATCACATTTTCTCCTGAAATATAAAAAAGTTAAAAGGGCACTTCCAGTTAAGCCTAATCTCACAACAAATTTACTTTTTGTATTAAAATTACAATGGATAACAAAAGATAAATTAACATTGTAAACAACATAAACAATAGTGTCCCATGATTCTTCGGTGCAATCCCTGGGCTTGGAAGGTCCCCCTTTAAAAACATTTAATCAATAAACCAAGATATAAAAGGACACTATTCATACATATAAGAATATGAAGTTATCACCTGATATCACTTGTTGGTCAAACTGGTTGATACGAGTAAGATGTAATGGGGAGAAGGCGAGTGGATAATTACAGCCATATGAACACCTGGACTATAATTCAGCTACATGTATACAAACAAGCAATATCAGGTACTGTAAAATACTTTATTTTCGCTTGGAAATTTCGCTGTACTGAAGGAGTGATTCAGAGAAAATAAAATACAGCGAATATAATTTTTTGCCCTTTATTTTGCATTTAACTCATCAAAAATTAGTGAAAATAAATAACATACAAAACAGCCAAAAAGTCTTTTAAGCGAAAATGAATTCTAAAAAATTAGTGCTAAAAAGAAACTGCAAATTTACCAAACTGTGCTTCAAAAATGATTTGTTTATTTATGCTAATAAAGCATGACATTTAAGCATATTGTTGGACGTGAATTTGCAGTTTACAGTCACTGATATTTAATATTTGGCAGAAATGTTCAGTCTGAAAGTCTGTAATAAAAATCTGAATTATTGCACGCTTTGTCTACTATGTATACTTTTTGAACACACATTTAACGTGAATATTGTGACGGTAACCAAACCAGATCAGCTAGTTATATTTCACATGAAACGTTAAATAATAAATACTAATACCTTAGTCAGCTTATAATTAGCCAAAAGTGTAAACACATGGTGATATGTCAAGCAACACAGCTTATACCTGTATTTATGATAGTAACAATCAAGTAGTATGAAAGAAGTTTTTCAGCCTTGTGCGAAATTTTTTCAAGCTGTTTAGGCCAACAAAATCTGGTTCCTATAACATTTTTTCCAAAAAATGAAGCAAGTATGTAGGGATTATTTTCCTATAAATTTTTTTTGGGTTATAAGAGTGTCATAAATCACTTTTATTTTAAAGTTGTTACATTACCTAGTTTTGCAAATTTATTTAAAGTCTGGCAGTTTTCTCAAAAAGTTCAGGGTCACTCGTAAAAATAGGGTATGTTGGGTTATAGGAAAGACACAATTTCTTTCTCTTGGCCTTACATGCAAGTATAATGAACATTCTACCATTTTACTCCATGCATGCACCACTGATTTTATTTTGTATGGTCTGTATGGATTTACAAATACAACAGAAATGACAGAAAATCCAACTGAACATATATGGGAAAAACTTTCAATAGAACATTTCCCGTTCACTGCGAGATCCTGCGTTACATGTGAAATTGAACGTAAAAACAGGACAAACAAAGGTCAGAACATCGTAGTGGCATTAAAACATCGCACGGGATTCGACAAAAGCAAAAGTATTTTGGGAATATTTCCACATTTAATAATGTGCTGTACACATTTGATGATGGTCAATTTTTATGAAGTAAAGGTATCTAAACGCAATATTTCCCTGTTAAAGATCACCCTTTTGACTTTGAGCTATGAAAAACAAACTTTTAGTTCAAAATCAAATCAATTGATTTTTGCGGCAGACGTTTGGTCCATGTCTTTCATGCAATACACGCAATATCACCAAGTAACAATTTTTTTTTATTTTCGTTATTTAATGACATAATCTTGAATTTGCAATTTGGCTTAAACCTCCTTAAGAAGCAAGAGGTTGACAACCTACCTTCAAATACAGGGTACAGGTTTTCTTTGACACCTTTCTGAGTAAATACTTTCAAATATGCAACCTACAAATATAAGAATTAAAAAATAGACTCAGAAAGAACTGTGTTTATGTTATTTCACCTTTCACAATAACGATTTCTTCCGCGCTGAACACCAGACACCCTGAAGAAAGGGTGCATTATGTGTGAAAAGAAATAATTTCACACAATTGCAAATGATCTATATAAATGTGACTATTCAAGTTGGTGATGTGGATTACATCAGTAGAGAATGTGTGCTACATGTACATGTATTACTCTTGTTATTGGTATGATGGTAGACACAAGACATTCTATTACGACTGACTTCTGATATATTGTACATGCAAGACAGACATACTGCAAAGTGAAGCAGTTTTGTGCAAGATTCCTTTCTTTACAGGGAAGAAATTTGTTAACTCTATATTGGATTTTGCAAAGGATTGTGGGATAGAAAAATGAACTATAGAGGGTGTATTTGTGGGAGGGGGGGCTTGTATTTTTTCCACACCCTGTGCTAACATCAAGTGTAAACCTCTCCTGTTTTCCTATATAATTCCATTTTCTATCCCACAATTCTTTGCAAAAACAAATATGGAGCTAACACATTTCTTTCCTATAACATTCCCGACGTATTTCTAGAATTAAAATGACTGACATTTAACCATCTTGAATTTGATTGTAAAACAAACAAACACATGCGTAAATGTGTGACAATGTACGCGTACCCAGCTGTCAGAGATGTGTGGCTCTATAACAGTATTCTTTAAAACAAGATGGCCACTAGTTGGCCATTTTAAATACAATCTGAAAAACAACATGACATGCATAATGGTCAATACTTGTATTAACAAAGTATTAACAAAGATGTATATCAAATGGTTAATATTATCCACCTATCCATCCACAACCAAGAAAGTTCTAGAATGGCAGAAATGTTTATTTTGAATTTTGATGCATTTGAATACAATATACACATACATATATACCGTACACCCCCACCCCCCTGGGTATAGGCCCACCCCCTCTATTTTTAGACATTTAATGAGTTGATGGCATCTCCACGTATAGGACTAGAGTGGTATTACCCGGCGTCAATGATTGGTTAATATTTATTAAAATATGTGTGTAAAAATGCGTTTCATTGCATAAAAATAGTGATTGGTACGGCAGTTCTCTTTGTGATGGCCTTGTCAAGGGTTGATATTTTCATGCTTTTATGAAAAAACTCATACTAATTTCACAGTGCATGGTGAACAATGCAACATGGTTCGCACTCTTCCTGTTCTGTTATTAACTCACAATAAATTGCAAATCATAAGTTTTCAGGAAAAACAAACAAATTTGTTGTCATCACAATCATTGCTAACACATCGTATTTTAACATTACGATAACTCATTTTCGTATTGCGTTAAAAAAATGCCATCATCAATATTCTGGAATTTCAGAAACAGCTTTGCATCAGAGTTTGCAATTGATCGAAAACATTCCGTAGCTAAGATAATAATAAAGATCTTGCTTTTGACTGTTTCCCCACAGACCCTAATCATTTAAACACCACCAATTGAGATGATGGGTAGTATTGTAATTAAATTATGCATCTTTTTGTGAACATGTTTGGTTCTTCATTGTAAAAGTAATTTAGAAATCAATGACGACTCATTTTGCAATTTTGTTTTCTTCAAAAAAATGCAATATTCCCCCAAGCACAGAATGGTGAATGAAAGACGTAATTTGGATAATTTATCAAGGGAGATAACATGGTTTCAATTTTACACCAACATGGTGATCATCTGGTATACACCGACGGTACACCTTTTACTTTCCATGATTATATTTGTTGAGGCCTCTGAGCTTATGACTGGGAAACTGTGGTACATGATATGATGTGTGCAGCGTGTATTTATGAACGTAATCAGCTCAGGTGCAGATTAACTAACGAACAGAGG